AGGGGCCGTTACTCGTCGGATCTTCGCCCCCCCCCCCCCTTTTACGTACACGCGTTCGAACACATTTTCATACGTACATACATACATACATAAACATACAAATACACAAACATTAACACACGAGTTAAACGAAAGCGTGCTCAGGTCGGTACGATAGAGAATTATCGGAGTTCTATATCGCTCGTTGGTCGCTTGGTATCGAATCGTAATTTATTATTTCAATGGTCGTTGACGCCATTTAAAATGTATGTAAAAAAATCGTGCGTGCCGTTTTTAATCGCGCTGCAGCGACCGGGAGACGATCGTGTGTGATATTATTCCGTTCGAAACCCGTAGCCATATAATATGTATACATGGTATATATATGGTATATATACACGTTTGTTTGTAATATTTTTGTAAATTATATTCGTTCCCGGGAACGTGTTGTAGATAGATTTAGAGATCGGTGAGCTCCGTTACATTGTCAGGGTATTAATTGCTCGACGAACCATACTCTTCCGTCGCTGTGGGGTGGTGCATCGTTTTCGTGTATTCGTTTATTATACACGTGGAACCGCGAAGAGATCGATCGTTCTTTAAGCATTTATCGGGCGACAGTAATCGTTTAATCGCCGGTCGTAAGAAACGTCGATCGACGTCGTCTGTGACACCTTTGCGTTTTATTCTCGTTAGAAAGATATTAATTCCGATTACGATTATATTAGCTCGACTCCAATTAGTAATATTAGCATGACGAGAAGCATCGTGTCAATCTTTTATTATTAGCGCTTGATCGGTTCAATTTATTTCAAACGTTTCGATCGTGTCGCTCGATTATCTGGAAACGACGTGGCCGCGATCGTTCTTTTTTTTTTTTTAGTTTTTTTTTTAATATTCTTTTTTCTTCTCTCTTTTTTTTTTTTTTTTTTTTTTTTTAACAATTCGTTCATTCCTGCGTTATGTCTGTGTCCATTCCGCGAAATAAAATAGTGGTTAGCTTTTAGGATGGTTAAGTTATCGTCCACATTGATTTCCCTTTTATCCATCGATTCTCCATTTTGTTCACGATCCATCATCTTTCGACATCCATAACTCGTTGTTGGCGAGTGATTGAAAAAAATTTTTTCAATAAGAGAGAGAGAAAGGGATCAAACGAGGAAAACGCGTAGTGCGAGTGTGTACAATTGTCGCGTGCGTCATCGAACATTGGATGTTATAAAAATAGAAGGAAAAAAAAATGAATAGGAGTAAATAGAAAGAAAATAAATAACAGGGAAAAATAGCAGTGGAAAGTAAAGATAAGTGTTCAAGGATGATAAAGTGAAAAATGGCGAATGGCCGGTGCCGTTTTGGGCTCGCTTTCACGTAATGCTACTATTACTAATCTAAGTCTACATGTATTGTGTATAATGGTTTAAGGACTCGATATAACATAGAAAGATTCTTCTGTACATAGTTGAAAAAAAAAAAAAGAACTTTGTCGAGGCATTAGGGATTTGCGAATATTGTGTCATTTTGCGAATGAATGAGTTTATCGATAGTGTGGTATATAAAAATCTATATATATATATATATAAATATAAATATAATTATATAAATACATACACGAACAACATGCACACACACATATATATATACACACATACACATACATAACACGTACATACAATACATTGCGCGTATCCCGGCTGCATTTAATTTTTACTTTTGAAATCTCAAATTTTTCCAAGAAAAATAACGAAAAGAAAATAAAGAAAAAGCGACGACCGTCGATTCTCACGAGCCGGCAGCTCGAACGAAGAAACTTTCTCGTTTTATCGTATCGCGATTGGTCGTG